CATATTTGGAGCTTCACCACAACGCACTTTCAAGAAAATTTTTGTCCCGCATAACCAGACAACAGCAAATTAGTTAGCTCCTTTCTTTTTTTTTTCCGTGCTGAAATCCCCTCGGATACCACCTATCGGTGGCATGTCGGACTCGAACCGACTAAAACCGCATGCCGCCTCGGGTACTAATAGCCGGGGAACCAGGTATACCCTAGAAAATTAGTTAGCTGCTGCGATATGTCCAAATCGATATGATCTTTAAACCTTCTAGAAAAGAGCTCACACCTCAAAGCCAACAACGTACTTGTGACTTTTGAGTTACAGGTATCCTTGGGCGGTAGCCACTTACCATGAGTTGATCCATCTGCTCATTTGTCACTATATCATAGAAAATGATGTTAAAGTAGGTAGGTAGGATTATAGTTTTTGAATTTTTAAATTATGTTTAATACGTCGAGGTTACAGGATGGGTAATATAGTTCAGAATATTGCTAATAAAATAAAAATATCGTATGAGCTAATTTGACATAATTAATAATAATATATATCTGACCCACAGTTACTTAGTATGTAATAATATGATGGCATAAGCTCCTTATTGCTAGATCAGGATATTCAGTAATTAATTATTGCTTGCGATAATGTAAGAATATAAGAATATGGAAAAAATAATGTTTCAGCCTACAGCCAAATCACGATCTTCGACATTGTCATTGGTAAGGGAAGAAATGTAAATATTACAAGTTTAAAACTGATTTTGAAAAGTGTTTACATAGCGACATAGCGAAAGGCTTTCGATCGGGTCGGGCGTAAGGTGCTTCTTTCAAAGCTCCCTTCCTATGGGCTTCACAAAAATTATGTTACTGTGTCACCAGTTTCCTTCTTGCAGAAGCATTAGAAGAAAAGCATTAAGGTCATTATCGACGGTGCATGCTTCGACATGAAATCTGTAAATGCTGCTGTCTCGCAAAGCTGTGTGCTATCACCCACAATGTTTCTTCTGCATATCAATGATATGTTGCAAACTAGTAGCATCCGTTGCTATGCAAATGATAGCACGGGAGATGTCCTTTATACGGCCCGCCCCTAATATTTCTCGGCAAAACGTCATCGAGAGTCGAAACAAACTTGTGTCTGAAATTGAAACTTCCTTAGCGGAGGTTTCAGATTAGGGTCGACTGATAGATTCAATGGATCCATTTTAATCCAAAAAAGATAGTGTTAGTCGTATTGCCTCGGTTTAAGAGCACCTCCGTAACTGCCACAGCGAGTATCGGAATCCTAGGCAGCGACATAAGGTCAAATTGGCCTCGAAGAACTCCGGCCCACCGCCTCTAACTCTATAAGGTGTAAGTTCGGTTTCATATGGAATACTTTTTCCATTTCTATGCACCTCAGTATCACTATCTTCTGGACCGTATCCAACGAAGAGCAACCTGAATTCTTGATCTTTTGGCTATTGAATTTTCGATAGCCAAAAGATCTCCAACCGGCTCGATCACTTGGCATTACGTGTAGGTTCGCCTTGCATTTTCTATCGTATATATTATGGAGAGTGATCCGAAGAATTGTTCGAACTACTACCGACCACTTTCCGTCATCGCTCCACACGGCAAGACTTTTATCCTCAACACTTGGATTACTGGTGTTCCACTACTATGCTCTTTGTAAGACACTTTTTGCCTCGCACAACCAATCTGTCTAACAAGTTATCGTCTGCGCTATTTCCGGACCGATACAAATTCCAAACTTTCAAGAAAAGAGCGTACCCCTTCCTCAAAAGCCAACACTACGACAAACGGCAACGCGCTTGTTACTTCTGAGCTGTGGGCGTTCATTTGCAACCTCATCGATAAAAAAAAGACTGATCACCATAAATGTATATGTATACATTAATAGCTGTTTCAGTTAAACATGAGGCAGTAAATTGTAAAGCACTGTGCAAGTGTAAATGAGATTCTATTAAAGAGCTAGGCAGAGCCTATGCAATGATAATTGTTCTTCTAAATCAATGAGTTTTTTCTTTTATTCTCCTTGATCGCACGACAGCCTCTTTCACAGACTGACAGACTTTTCTTTTTATGATAATGATGAATTACTTACAACATTTCCAAACACCCATCAAATGATCATGCTTATCATACTACTATTTGTCCAAGATGACAATCGAACCGACAACTTTGGCTAAGTAATGAGGATGAATAATCTATTATTGATTTGTTTGTATTCAAATAAGGTAATATAAATTTACACACAACAAAGCAAATACACTAGTCAAATCAAATCAATCCATGTTTAAATTTGGCAACCGTAAACCACCATTCAGAAACATGATGGATCAATCAAGTGCTTTACGTTAAAGCAAAAGTATTGTTGAGTTCCTCGTACGGACTATTGAATCACCTGTGTGGGAAGCACTTACTTGTATTGAGTGTGGACCTTGAATGTGACATCTATGAAGTGCTGTGTAAAGCAAATAAATTTAAAGAAAATGAGATTGAATATGTTGATTTTAATGTTGTTTTACTAGAAAAAATGCATATTTTCTTTATAATTCTTTTTCCTTTTTTTAGACAAATCCGGCATCAGGAATATGTCTATAAATGTTTATAATAATACATGAAATGGATACAAGCAACAACCAGACTCAGAATAACAATTTGTGGATCACATAAAGTGTCGTCCCATGTGGGTGCAGAGTGATCACTTACGATCAGGTTACAGGATCACTCACAATTATACCCAAAACTTGAGGAATGACAGAGTGGATAAAGACAGTAGATTAATATTTGCTACTGTGACAAATAAGGAACAAAGTAAACAATTGTTTGTATTTAATATCAGTAATTATAAAAAGAAATTAAAAAATAGACACATTACTCCTCTTATTAATTGTATGACTATCATCATCATATCCTCTATAAGAAATCATACTCTGCTAAGGGCATCAAGAAGATGGAATTAAACCTGAGCGCCTGATTCGGGTGGAAAGCCGGTCTTAAGAGTCCTTCAGAAGATATTCAATTCTGTCATACTCGGCGGGAAGCCGCCTGAAGTATGGTTCAGGGGTGTGGTAGTGTTTTTCTTCAAAAAGGGCGGTAACACCTTGTTGAAGAACTATAGACCTATCTCTCTTCTGAGTCATGTCAATAAGTTCGTTCAGACGAAGATTTGACGACTTCCAGGCCGAACAAGCCGGTTTCCGAAAAAGCCTTAGTACCATAGACCACATACATACACTATGGTAGGTTATGCAGATGTAGGGTCTCTAAACGAGTGGGTCTTAAAATGAACGTGAATAAGACGAAAATTCGTCTTTTTCAAATTCTTCATTCTTCAATTTCTCATTTTCTTCTTTGCTGTCTTCTTTTCGATGACAGACACATTAAATTTGCTGAAAATGGCTCTTTGGAAAATTAATTATTCCAAATCCAGCGTACTCAGCAGAAAGACCGCTTAGTATCTGATATTCTACTCCAGACAGGTTAGCATACTTGGCCATAGTAATTGGATTCACGAACAGCAATCCAATATAGTTAGACGTCAGTCCATTGTATCTTGGATGTTGTATTATTTTCTCTTCTGAGTGGGACTCCACCACGACTCCAGCCCAAATTGGAGACTATACGCTCAAAGTTGTTAACGATAACGTGTAGCTTAGACAGACTATCAAGGTAGGTGGGTCCAAATTAGAAAAATAGGTCAAGCGTCGAATCCAGTTTGTCTGGGCAGCTTTTGGGATTATGCGTGACATTTTCCTGTCCCAAATACCAGTGTCTTAAAACTAAACTTTTTGACCAGTGTGCGTTGTCAGTGATGACTTATGGCGTAGAGACATGATCAGAGACATGATGGATGATGATGCTAAGGACATCATCATCCATCATCATCATCAACAGCCCTTAATAGTCCACAGAAGGACATAGGCCTCTCCTTGGAAAGGAGGTTTTAGTCTTGTATACCACCCTGGTCAAATGGGCTGTTATAGGTTTTATTTCAAGTTTTTCCTTGTCTTTGCCATACTATGGTCCATCGTAGTTTGCTCCCTAAGTCGGCTCTTAGGACATCCACGCGGTGAATACGCGGGGTGGTGCCACTCCTTAATTATTTCATGTGCAAGTCTTAAAATATGGTCGTATAAAATGGGTTCGTAAATCTCAATTCTAGAACTTCTTGTAAGTTAAACTGAATAATGATAATATCGTTTTTAGGAATAACCGACGTTATACTGAAGTTTTAGAGACAAATTATTGTTTTAATATTATTCCAAAATCTTTTTGCGTTTCTTTGTCATGTTGACATGCATATGTATACATTACGGTGAAAGACGAAAATGCTGATTGAAAAATAAAAACAGCTCACAACGCGGTTTGATCACTATAAACCGACCGAACTCATTCTTAAACATTCATTTGCCAAACAATAAATATATAAATAGAATACATACATCGAGAAATTCGTGCTATGATTTATGTATTATTATATATGTGAATCTTAGAATGGCAGTTGTGGTCGTGGATATGATGTGATACAATTACAGCAGGGCATCGTTACAATGAAAAGAAATGCCATGACGCATTTGCAGCACTAGTTGACGTAATCATGTCATAAAGAATAAACACAAGTTTGTGATATGGCAACAATAGGTATGAATCCAGGGGAATTAACAATGTCATTTCGCTCATAAATCTTTGCCAGTTTTGTTAAAAATCTGTTTCTTCTATAAAATACATGAACTGTTTGACTACTTTGGTGACTACCGCTGGGTCACAAACGGACTAGAGGCAGGCTCAGTACGCGTTATGATTTTTTCATTGCCGTCACAGCCATGACACTAACTTCGCTATGTGTTTTTTCTGAGATGGTTCGGACGTATTGTAAGCGTTTTCATAGGATCTATAACAATAATTTTGTGATGTGAATGTTTTAAAGCGAACACAACATATTCTGACCTGTTTTTTTGCTCAATGAGCTTTTCCGGTTTTTCAGAATAACATTATAATACTCTTTTATTGACTGATTACTTCCACTGTACTGTTTTTGTCTTCATTGTGTGCTGGTAGAATTATTGATCGGATCCATGTTATATAAGAACTGGTTGGAGTGAAAGCTTGGACATGAAGTTCGATTGCAACTGCTAAGGCTATTCCTACGATTTTGTTGTCTAAAATCAATGGTCCCCCCGAATCTCCGGGCAAATTTATTTGTTTCTCGAAACACTTCGATGACAGACACATTAAATTTGCTGAAAATGGCTCTTTGCAGGTTCTTAAAATAGCTTTGCCTACCACAAGCGGTTGATTTTCACTGAGTTGTATGTATTTTTTCTTGCTATATGTTTTACGAGTTGGAAAATAAATCATTCCAAATCCAGCATACTCGGCAGAAAGACCGCTTAGTGTTTGATATTCTACTCCAGACAGTTTAGCGTACTTGGTCATAGTAATTGGATTTACTAATAGCAATCCAATATCGTTAGACATCAGTCCATTGTATCTTGGATGTTGTATCATTTGTAGCACTTCGCTCTTTAAATCCGTACGATTTAGTGGTACTGACATATTCCCGTACTGAATATGAGTAATTACTTTCTCAAGGCAATGTGCAGCGCTCAAGACCCACTGTGGTGTTAAAAGGGTACCGGTACAGATATTGTGTAGACCAGCATGTAGAGTCTTTAGGGCTACTACATAAGGATACTTCTCCGTATTTTCGTCGATGCCAGTATACGTGCGAAGACTACCTTTCCAATTCAATTTAGATGCACATCCTGCTGTTATAAATATAAAAAATATTTCTAACATATGCATTACACTTATGTACGAGTAACAATCAATCAAACTATTTGTTACATAAAAAGTGTTATTTTATAATATTTTAAATATAATATATGGACATTTATTTAAATTTTTGTACAGCAATAAACCAAAAATAAGTGCACTATTTTATGTTTCGTGTTATTATTGACGATGGCTGTAAAATCACTTTTACGATTGATTACATGAGTTTCATAAGTGCCATTTTTGCACCACATTTTCGTTCATTTATATTAAAGTTATATTGCAAACTGCAAACTATTTTCATAGTTGTCGGCATATTATTGCAATTTTTAAGACAAATATTTACTGTGAACAAGTTGTGCCCAGCATGTGTTTGATTACACCTTTTTCACATCGAACTTTTTAATTTATGTGTTTATTTGTTTAACTTAAAGGCCGATGATGTTTTAGTTTCTTTAGGATGTAATGTTCAAAGAGTGATAGAGCTCGAGCATGAGACAAATTGATCTCTTTTTTTTTAACAATTAACATTTTTGTAATATTAGGTAAATATTTTATTGGACTACTTTTAATCTTGGGAGAATCATGCTTCGGCACATATGGGTCAGGCTCGAACGGACCGGACCGGATACCACAACCTCACAGAAATCCGGTGTTAAGCAGTTCTTTCTTAACTATTTACCCAGTGAGTGACGTTACTGGAGCCCAAACATGTAGAAGCTCCTCATGATTATACGGGTTAGGACTGAAAAGGCGGCAATGCATTTGAGACTATAGAGTTTTAGATGTCCATAGGCGGCGGTAGTCAGTTACTATTAGGTGACCTTCCTGTTCATTTACCCAAAATGAAAAAATACCATGCCTGTCATTATCCAACTTTTAACTTTCCTTTCACAAAATAATATTTTCAATAGTTTATCCGTAGCTTGTTCTTCGTTCATGGCTACTAAGATGAACGTATTATATACTACTACTGCAATTCACTCATAAAAACTGCTCACGAGACATGCGAAAATGGTTCAAAATATATACATTAATTAAATTTTGTTATACCTAGAAAATGGTGCTCCCTTGTTTCACAGACGGAAATTTCATAGAATTTCGTTTCGCAGTAATTGTTTTATGTAAAATTTGGTTCTTGTATTTTGATTTAGAATATTATTGTTTTAACGAGTATTTACTTGAATGAAACATACTTCACAGTAACACAATTTAATGAATTTTATATTCACATATTTTTATTTCAAGAAATTATCATTTTTTTTTTAATTTTCAAGAATATTTTTTGTTCGGTGTATTATTCGATGGTATTTTATTTTAACGAAAATGCAATAAAGTATGATATGTTAAAACGGAGACCCCAACCCCAAGTCGTTTTAAAAACTGGTTTTGTGAATGCGGTATTCTAATTTTATAGGCAAGCATTTTGTCAAAGTAATGAGTTGAAAGGTTTACAAATTGTAAATCGATAAATAATTTTTGTATTAATTAAAAAATATGATGATAAAGATATGAAAAGATATAACTTAATTTGTAACAATAGTTTATGATTTAAATTTCTTCGAAGTAAATATTCTGCGTATTGATTATTATATTAAATGAAAATATGAGTTTGTTTTTATGTGAAATGAAGTTGTATAAAACAACGTACAACCCTAGAAAATATTTTACACACTAATTGAATCATTGCATTTATCTTTTTCACCAAATCGAGATCACAATATACAAAGGTTTACTTCTTAGAAATTAATGGCTAAACCTTTTTAAAATTTTAAATCTTGGTTACTGTCCCTGAAATCCAATATTGCCATGTTTAGATGATAGGTCTGAAATCCTAATGTTTTGTTCATAATATAACTTTATGTTCACTAAGGTTTTTAATAAAGTTAAGTTAATAAAGTTTTTAATAAAAAAAAATGAATGAATGTGTGTAAACATTTGATGTTTCGCCAGTCTAATTAGTTGAAAGACAAAGTCCGCCATTGAAAGAAGCATCAGAAAGAAAAAAAGAATGAATTTTGAGTTATTGTAATACCATACCTTACATATACCTTGCAATACCATCCCTTGTTTTATTCTAATTACTTGTTTCTAAAGAAAAAATAGCAATTGGGCTACGGGCCTGAACCACCTTAACGAAGACTGGAAGAAAATGTCAGTGCCATTAAGTCCAACATTGTGCAAATTTCATTTATGTACCTATAATTAATTAAATAGATAAAACTAAGGTATTTGCTGCCTTGATGAATGACAAAAACAAAACTAAACAACCTCTAAAAATCGAAAACATAATTATTTTACGCCAATTTTTTATGGTCAGTCATGCGTTTAGTTGTTCAGATCGTCAAATACTGATTATTTATTGGTCTGTCAAGACTGTCTGTGAAAGATAAAGTTGTTTTATTTGAGAATATAAATAATCCATATCAACTGTTTCAACGTGTTTATATACGACTACATTTATCGAACGCATGAAATTAACTAATAATTTAAATCGTTTATCTCTTTGTTTACACGTGGTTTAAGATTAATTTTGCATAATCACTTGAAGAAATAATACTTATGCTGAGCCGTGTGAAATGACAGAATTGAACAGGATCGATATATCCGTTTCGATGTGATGTCTATTGAGATGGTTTTCTATTAACAGTTTATTTTTAATAATTGCCCATTACGATGTATCCAAGATTTACTAAAAATATTCATATGGGGTATTCGTCGTAGATCCGAATGATTACTTAGACGTGCCATTTTTATCTCAAAATATTCAAATTAATTGCTGATGTATTTCAAGGAGAAAGAAATGATTTTACTTCGATGGATAGTATAGATAACGATATATCGTTATACTACTACACTACCACGCTACTTGCAATATAATTGTTTTAATAAGAAGCGTAAGAAATTGATTGAAAAATACCATAAGAATTACGCTTCATGACCTCAATTTAGACTGAATATGATTAAGATTCTTAGTCGAAAATGGTAACTTTTTTAATATATATTCTGAACAAAATTCTCAAACTACGTTTTGATGTTTATTAAAAAAAGCAGATTTCACCTGTCAGTCAACTACAGCTAGGTACAAGGCTGATCACGTATGTCAAGAAATAATAAAACAAAGGAATGTCAGCACTGTTTCACATTTACAACATTCACAGCAAGGACGACATCTTCGTTACAAAGGAAAGGCTATATCGATGAACTAAAATATTCAAACAACCGCATAATGTCGGAGTTATTATTTCTGAAACTCAATTCAAAGACAGGAATAAATATTTTTCCTTTATCAGGCTTCCCATCTTCATTTAATTGCGCAAATCCTCTTTAAGGGTATCTTTTTCAATAAAATATTTTTTTAAGGAACGGTACTGGGATGACGTAATTAAAGTCACAGAAAATCAGCTTATCTATGTGTTTGAGGTTGGTTTTTGTGTAATTTAGAAGATCAGTTGTGTTAAGAAAGGTTTGTTTTATTTTCTCAATGTAATATTATTTCCCGTGCATGCCATTGTTTATTCCCGATTATAAAATAGAATAGGTAGTATATAAAACTTTGTATTGGACAAATATACAACAAACATAGTAAATTATCTTGGCGCGGTAAATAGCATGAACGAACGCTTTCAAATTTTTTTTAAACACCCTAATTATCTATTTTGCTTCAGTCTGTTTTTATATTTGCTATGCTGTAAGAAATATTTAAATGATTTTAGTGAGTAAGAGTGAGTGACTAACAAATATAATAAAAATGAGCCGTTCGGCAGAAGAGAAATATCGAAATTATTTTGTAATAAATAATGAGTATAAAAGGATAGATTTCCAATAATAAATATAGCACAATTAATAATATAATATTCAGGTTTTTTTAAAGAAAGAGATGATTGTTTATTTGACATACGTTTATATTAATTTCATACAAAAATGAAGCGGTAACAACTTCATTTTCTTTATTAGTGACTTTATAGTATCACATCCACACAACAGCCGGTTTGACCCTGTACGTTAGAAGTTTCACATTAATAATATTGAGTAACAAATACGAATTTCAAAATACCGATTTTATAATTCGGAATGTTTTAAAATTTCTAATATAACAACTCCGATTGATCATTCATACTACCGGATGGCGTAGTGGTTTGTGTAACGGACTGCTATTATAAAGGTCGCGGGTTTGATTCCCGCTCAAGTCAAACATTTGTGTGCATGAACTTTTAATTTTTGATTTGGTCTGGGTGTTTCTATGTATAATATATTCAAATCAGTTGTCTAGTACCCATAATACAAGCTCTGCTTAGTTTGGGACTAGATGGCGTTCTGTGATTTAAAATAATAATAATAATAATAATAATTAATATTCCTAACGTTTATAATTACTACGATGAAAATACCGAAACATCAAAATTCAAATTCTTTCTATTTCCTTTAAAATTAAAATAGTTTCACAGTCACAGGTAACAGTTCAAACCTAACCTAAGCCAAAACATCACTAACAGTAGATGGTACCCGACGCATATATAAGGAGAAGAAGAAAACACAAAAAATAAAGTAGACATTTTAAATTACATTAAACGTTACTCATAGTTTTTCCATATATATGGGTATATAAACTCGGTTCCAAAAATAACGGGTCAGTCACATAAACCCGAATATCTCCCGAACTACGTATGCCATCCTAATGAAACGAAGACTTGAGAATTTAATTATACAGATAAAAAATAAAATAAAACTTAAATCTAAACTCTCTTACTCTTAACTTATCTCTAAATAAAAAAAAAACTAAAGTAGTCATATTTCTCTTAAGATTACATTTTTTTATGATTGTTTTTTTGGTGTTTTTCATCACTTTCTTCATTTAATACTTTGTATTGCCTCCACGAGCTCTTTTGACAGCTTCCAGGCGATTAGGCATGCTGTACACCAAATTTCGGAGCCGATGCTGAGGAATACCTTCCCATTCCTCCACCAGTGCTTGTTTGAACTCGGGAAGCGTGATTGGTGGGGGGTTTCAACCTTTCACGCAT